ATGCATATTACATCTTTGGGAAGAAAATACATTGAAGTACAGCTGTGGAAGATGAAAACAAAATTTTACTTGATTTGGTCATAGTCTGCTTTGATTCATAAACAGATCTTATAGTTAAATTTTCATTACTGGACATGGACTAGTGTTGTGTGAAGTAGTACAAGCTAGAATTTCAAATGTCTAAAGAACTGTTAGCATTTCCCAAGCCTCATTATTCTGTTCACCAGCCCCAAGGTATAAGCCCACTGGCAGCACAGTGGCCATGTGCTGACATTAAGATGCTCTCCACATGCACTTGTCAGTCAAGTCCTGTGTCCCCCTCTTCCTTGGCAAAAAGGCACTGGAAGGGAAATGTGGGAAGAGGAGGGATAAGAGAAGGTCTTCTCTTCCCTTGCCCGCAGCAGCTTCTGAAGGCTCTACACTCTCACTACAGAACAGCACATCAGCCCACAGAGAAGATGAAACTTAATAACCAATCATGTGCTATTTTGTATTTAAGCCTTATTTTCAACTTCATTTTTTCCCCATTAAGTTTACTGGTACATTTTAGGTATACGACACAGTTACATTCATCATTGGGATCTTATACCTTTACGTGATCTTGGTTCTTATTTTTTCCCCATTCCCCTGCCCCCTCTTCACCCCCTCTACCCTTTACTATTTAGAAAGATTTTGTTTCAATTTTTTCCTTTTCTCATTTTTTCTTTTCCCTTCTTTCCTTTCCCCCACTCCTTTAGACCTTTTCTTCCTATTTCACATTATCAACTGTACATTTTGATCCTTATTTACACTTTTAGTTTTTCACATCAGAGAAAACTATTCAGTTTTTACACGTGTCCTATTTATTTCTCTTAAGAGTATCACCTCAATGTGCATCCATTTAGCCATAAATGTCTCTAGTTTCTTGTTCTTTATGGCTGAGTAGTACTCCATTTAAATTTTGTTTGTTTGTTTTTTGTTTTGTTTTGGTACCGGGATTGAACTTGGGTCCTTGCGCTTACAAGGCAGGCCACCAAACCGCTGAGCTAAATTCCCAGCCCTACCATTTAATTTTTTTAAAAAATCACATTTTCTTTATTCAGTCTCCAGTTGAGGGACAATTGGGCTGTTTCCAAGATTTAGCTATTACACACTGTGCCACTATAAACATGGGCGCACATATATCATATCGCTCTGGTATGGTTCTTTTAATTCTTTTTTATTCTGGTATCAGGAATCTAACTTGTGTCCTTGTGCTTGCGAGGCAGCACCAGCACCACTGAGCTAAGTCCCTGGCGATTCTTCTGGGAAGATACCCAACAAAGGAATAACTGGGTCAAATGGGACCTCTAAGTCTGCAATCTCACCAACAATGGAGAAGGTTTCCTTTCTCCCCACAACCTGGCCAGCATTTGTTATTGGTTGATTTCTTGATAGCAGCCATTCTTTCTGGGGTGAGGTAGAATCTGTGTTGTTTTCATCTGCATTTTTCGAATGACCAGTGATGTGGAACATTTTTTCATATTTATCTGCTTTTACATCTTTGCCTGAGAAATGTCTGTTCATTTCAGATGCCCATTTTTCAATTGGGTCTTCTGATTTTTTTTTTTTTTGAGTTCTTTATACATTCTAGGTAGTAGACCTTTTGTTATTATTTGATTTTTTTTTTTTTGATACTGGAGACTGAACTCACAACCTTGGGCTTGCAAGGCAGGCATGGTGCCACTGAGCTAAACCCTGGGCCTGTTATTTGATTTCTTAATGGCCACAAAACCTTAAATATCACATTGTTTCTCTTATATGAGAAATCCAGTGTAAAAATAAAGAGTAAAATAAAGACATATAATAGGAAATAGGGAGACAGATCATTCTCAAAGGGAAAGGGGATCAAAAGTTGGAGAGATAAGATAAAAAAAGGAAATGGGATATATTATGTACATGTACCAACTCCACATAGGGAATACAAACAACATGTACTGCAAATGTACAAAAAAATTTAAACAAAGGAAAGGGATCAAAGAAAGACAGGTAGTGGGGTACGGAAAGGGGATGAGAAAAGGAATTTAGGGGCTGGGGATTTAGCTCAGTGGTTCGGTGGCCTGCCTTGCAAAAGGAATTTAGATGGGTCACCAGGTACAATGGTAAATGCCTATAATCCCAGCATCTGGGAGGCTCAGGCAGGAGGATCGCCACAAGTCCAAGGCCAGCCTGGGCTACACAGTGAGTTCAAGGCCATCCTGAATTATATTAAGTGAGACATTGTCTTAAAAAACAAAATAGAAAGATGTGTTATGTACATGTACTAACTTCCCATAAGTTATGTAAACATTATAGACTATATACGTTCTAATAAACTTAAAATTTAAAATAAAAAACTCTGAGATTAAAACTTTTAAAAAAGGTCATACAGCACTAATGGTGAACCTTCTAGAGACAATGCCAAACTGCAACCTAAAACCCACTTATTCATCACAAAGTATGAACACGGCAATTAAACTTGAGTAGTGAGGTTTTGGTTTAGAAAAAAACAATTCATACACTAACATCTTTTGTCTGAAAAGAAAAACACAGTAATGTGTGCCACAGTTTCGCCCCCACTGTAATAAAGGTTCTTTTGGAATGTGTTTTCTCTAAAGTATCCTTTCTGAGTATCCAGTCACCATATCACATGGAGAAGACACATGAAGGTGATCTGGTCAACAGCCCCGTGAGCCTGGCTTTCAAGTCACTCCAGCCCAAGAGACACATAAGTGAGGAAGCTGCCAGATGATTCGAGCTCCTAACCATCAGAGTCTTCCCAACCACCCAGCCCCAGACACTGAAGCAAAGCGAAGCCATCCCTGCCATGTCCTGACTGAATTCCTGACCCACAGCCTGGGAGCACAGTATGGCTATTGTACTACACTACACTTTGGGGATGGCCAGAGAGGCAAAAACTGGCAAAGCAGTACCAATTCAAATCTTTATGTATTTACCATGTTTAATTTCATACCAGATATGATTAGTTACTACAGATGGGGCATTTATTCAAGGTAATGTATCATAAAGATCCATGTGCTAGGACAGGCCAAAGAAGTTATCCAACATTAACTCTGACAGGGGTTAGCCCTTGCTTAGCACCTAAATCTATTCATTGTTTCGGTAATGTGAATGTACCCAGTGAATGAAGTAACTCCATAAATGCTAATCTCGTGCACGAGCGCATGTACACACACACACACACACACACACACACACACACACACACACACTTTTGTCTTTTCTCTCCTCTCTACTTCCTCCCTCTCCATGTCTTTCTGTATGTACACAGGTAAAAGTGTACTTTTCCAATAATACCAAACCAGAAAGAGGAAACACGTGGTTATTGTCAATGGGGAGCTATTCATAAGGCTCTAATGCTATGTGTGAAACATTAATGAAATATTTTCCTCCTGAAGAACAAATCTGTGAAACTAAAGGTGATTATTTTGCTGTTTCCAAAAATCTTTTCCTAAAGCTATCAAGGATCTATGATAGATTGGAAAAAATATTAAGATAAACTATGATTTAAGAAAAGTCTTAAATTAAAATCAGATAAACCCATTTTATTTTTGCTTTCTAGGTTATTCCTGTTTTGCAATGCAAAACAAATCAATGTCTTTTTTGGTACCAGGGATTGAACTCAGGACCTTGCACTTGCAAGGCAGGCGCGGCACCACTGAGCTAAATCCCTGGTCCCCAAATCAATCTTATTGTAAAGTATTATACAATTATAAAGCAGAAAGATCAAGGCTAATAATGTGAAATCTTTTATAAGAGCCATGCTGAATTTTAAAAGGCATTAAAAATAAGTAAAATTAATGTTTCATACTGGCAATGGAAATACTTTTAAAGTTAAAAATAGCAAACACACACAGCCTCAATTGCTCCCCTTTCATTATTTCTGATCTACAGTCAACACTGCCCTCTGGTGATGCAAAGTAAAAGTCAAATATCAGAAAGAAAACATCATACTTTACAGTTCATTTTCATATGTTTAAACCAGGGCATCTAGTTTGAGCTACAAATCCCACCAAAAACAAAACAAAAATTCAGGATGACCTTCAATACCCCTTGTATACTAAACTAGAAACTCTTCACAAAAATGTCAAGGATACTTATTTTTAGAAATAGGAGGTCTTAAACACACTATTAATGAAACATCACTACATAGTGAATTATATCTTCACATAAAATTACACAATTCAAGCTGGGTATGGTGGCACATCCATGTAATTGCAGCACTTAATTTGCAGCACTGAGACAGAAGGATCACAAGTTTGAGTTTTGGCTGGTTAACTTAAAAAATAATAATAAAGGGCTGACAATGTAGCTTGGTGGTAGAGAGTTCATGGGTTCAATCCCCAGTACCAGAAGGAAAAAAACAAAAACAATTCAAGAAGGACTCTGGAGGGAATATACCTTGTAAGTTAAGGGCAGGGAATTTAGCTCAGTGGTTCTGCTGCCTGTCTCACAAGTGTAAGGACCTGAGTTCAATCTCCAGTACCCCAAACAAAAGGCAAGCAAACAAACAAACAAATAAATAAGAAGGCATTTAAGAGTGAAAGCCTCAGCATCTATAAATTTTAAAAATTGCATAGGAAAAAAAATCCATATAATTCTCAGGACATGCATCTAACACAATGAAGTGTCCATGGGAACAGGCCTCCCAGTATGCCATCTTTGCCCCTTAGGAAACCTGACTACTTATTTTAGGGAAAAAAAAGTATCTTTCAACTTTTCTCAAATCTTTATAACCTTTTATTTTGTGTATCAGGTGTTGAACTCAGGACCTTACGCTTGCAAATAGGCACAGTGCCACTGAACTAAATCCCTAGCCCCTCAAATCTTTAAATAAAATGCACACAAGAAACTTGGGTGCCAACCCAAATAAACAGGCACTAGACATGGCTATAAAATGATCTTCTAATCAATAAAAAGCACACACTTGGCTGCTAAGTATTCACTGAGCCTAGGAAATAGTTCAAAGACACAAGTCTTACCAAAGCTGGTGCCATCCTGCCCCATGATGCACTTCATAGAGGTGATGATCTGCTCCACCACAGGCGGCGACAGGGACGTGGCATATACTGCACTGTGGGAGTGTGTGCGCAGATAGTCTATCAGCTCCTGGGGGGTCCATAAAGGGAGACAGTTAGAGGCAACCCTTGAATTCACTGGCCAGGTTTGCGCTTTCCTCCTTTCAGCTGCCTGGAGTAATCCAAGATGAAAGGTCAACCAAACTGACAGCAACAACTGGGTCAGAAACATGGCAAAGTCCTTAGGCTTTGTTTTTTTTTTTTTTTTTAAACTAATGTTAAAGTATCTTTCTCAATTTGAAGAATGTATCTCTTAATGTTACAAGTAAATACACACAGCTGAATTAAAGAAAGTGTTTCGATCGCTTTTAAAAAAAAAAACCAATGATTTATTCCTGAGTATAGTATCACAGAAAATATAAAACAATCTACTACTTCCTATTTTTGGGGTTCTGGGATAGAATTTAGGACCTTGCGCTTGCAAAGCAGGCAGCAGAGTTAAATCCCCAGCTAATCTACTTCTAAAATGCAAAAAATTATGCCCGAAAACCCCAAAACCCAAATATACTGTACTGAAATGAATACTGTACTTAAATCACACCAAAAAGCAGCTAATTTTTCAAAGTGAACTAGTCCCACTAACAGAAAGGGAAAATTTGATAATTAAAAAAAACAAACAAACAAACAAAAACAAAAAACAAAAAAAACTAGGCCACTGTGTTTTCTCCTGCATGGAAGGGCTGCCCGCAGGCTGTAGGATGTTCTTTTCCTACTTTTACTTAGCCCAAACTCCTTCTGCAGAGCCTGTTTCTTTTCCTACCTTTAATGAAACTCTGCTACCATTTAAACCCTCTCCCCATTCTGGTGATGGAGTTTGAACCCAGGACCTTACGTATATTTAGGGAAGTGCTCTACCACTGAGCTATATCCGCTGTCTAAGAATGTCTGGTAATCCCCAATGTTGTGCTTTACAGAGGCATTTAGAACATTTAAGAACACCTACTATGTGTCCCATATAAATACCTGACATATACTACTACTTCTTCTAATGGTGCAGTGAAATTCTAAAAATAACAGCTTAATGGAGAACCACATACTGTTGCATCTACCTTTTTAAAGTATACAATTCAGTGGCTTTTAGCATATTCAGAGCTGTACAATGAAACTGCTATCTAATATTAGAACATTTTCATCATCCTTAAGGGCAATCTCATACCTATGAGCAGTTGATTTTCATTTCCCCCATCTCATCAGTCCCTGGCAACTACTTACCTACTTTGTTTCTTTGCCTATTCTGGATATAACATAAAAAATAATAAGTAAAAATAAATACAAGGTGTCGCCTTTTGTGACTGACTTCTTCCACTTAACATTTCCAAAGTGCAGCTGTGTTGTAGGGTAGAAATATTATTATTTGGTGGGGGGCTTTTTGAGACAGGGTCTCACTATGTAGTCGAGACTGACCTGGAACTCACTATGTAGCCCAGGCTGGTCTCGAACTCACAGCAATCTTCCTGCCTTAGCCTCCCGAGGGCTGGGATTACAGGTGTGCACCACCACACCCGGCTTTGACACGCATTGTTTTTTAAACCTTTACTACAATATTACAAGCTAGGCATAAGTACCTGTATTTTACTGTCAAGGAAACAGAAGGGGTCAATGCTGTCCCCAGGGTCTCACAAAGCAAGGAGAGAAATATTCAAATCCTGGCCTGTTTCCATGGTTCATCATTTCCATGTTCATAGTTGCCTTAGAGTACAGTATATTATTTCATAATTGAGAACTATAATGCTTTGTTGTACTCTAGATCTATCACAGTCTACCTTCTTCCTGTTTCTGTGTGTACCTATAATAGGGCAAGGCAAATGTGTATTCCCACTGGCTCCCATGACAACTTTATTCCTTTTAAAACTGTGAGCACAGCCCAAACCCAACAGAAGACTGTAGCAAACAGGAAACACCACTGTGTGTTCTTTCACAAAAGAGGGTATTCTGCATCTAAGATCAATATGTTGCTTAGAAAGCTCAAACAAGAAAACAATGAACAGAACTTGCCTTCAGCTCAGTGAGGAGACATCATAAGAGATGCTCTCTGGGCACCTAAATTCAGAAGTCTACTAGCAATAGGACCCTAAGCCACAAATTCAGGATCTCCACACCTTAGGTCAAGTCCCCAACTGCTAAACAGTTACCAAATCCAGTAGCCACTATCTTCATCTTTAGTTACCCATTCTCAAGGCCCATTTACCTTCTTGCCTCCAATGTACCCTCCAGCAGCACTGAAGCTCTTTGTGAACGTTCCCATCATAACGTCTACATCCTCAGGATCCAGGCCAAAGTACTCCACCACACCTCGACCTGTAGGGCCGAGGGCCCCGATGCTGTGAGCCTCGTCAAGATACAGGTAAGCCTTGTATTTCTTCTTGAGGGCAATCACTTCAGGAAGGCGAACGATAGACCCCTCCATACTGACAAAACAAGATTTTAAAAAATGCCTGTACTGAGACTTTTTAAACTCTCAAATTTAAACCTTTCCACTTCATTATTCATGTGTTGAGTTTAAACAACTATGGTTTTAAAGTGACAGTCAGATGAAGCCATGGCTAGGCAGTCTAGGGAAAAGGAGATTAGATCTTTAAAGACAAGTGCCAGAAGACAATTGATCCTCATTTACAAGAGTTAAGGTCACAGCAGATTCTTCTAAAGCCTGCAGTTACAGGCAACATTATACTTTATATTGTACTGCACATGCAATTAAAATTACACAAAAGAATAAACAAGGAAGTAAAAAAATAAGTAAAAAGGACTGCAGACATTAACCAAAGAAAAATGTTTCTGAAAATTAAGTGGTATATAATAATTTACTTTGGCATATTAGAATCTATATTCTTGTCCTACATGTAAAGATCACTCTACAAATAGGAGAAAAATAAAAGATCCAAATATGGGAATATGGAGACTATGTAGTATACAGGCAAAAAGGTTTTTGTCCTGTCCTAGTGAGGAATCTGTTATTATTAGGTATTTTAAAAAGTCATAAACACTGTGTAATTTCCAGATGGGACTAGACTGGCATTCTCTTCAGTTTAAGAATTCTTTGACTTCAACAGCCCAAGACACAGAGATAAGACAGCAAAGCGGGATTACCTATATATACCTTCCACAAGGATTAGAATTTTCTTCCAGGGCCTTCGTGTCCGTGGCTGACCATAGACAATGGCATCTTTCAACAGTTTCTCTAAACTTTGCATATCTACAGCACACACACAAAAATCGAGTCACAAAGTATCTTCCTCTTTCTTAACTTTATTCCAAAATTCCACATTTCTTAATCAGGCAGTGTGTCTCAGAGAGCAGAGGACATCAACATAATCAGTGTTGAACAGAAAAAAATAAGACCTATGGCTCAATTACTGCCACCTTTAACTGAGTATGTTGGACCTGGTTAAATGACTGGTGGTTGTTTGCTTCAGTTATTTAATATGTTGATGAAATGACCAAGGTTTCATGCTGTCTTCCCTTTCAAAATCAAACTATATCTAAAATTAGTGAGTCATTTAGAAAAGCATAAAGAGACTTAGTAAGAGTGTGATCATACATATACCTCCTAAAAAACAAATAGTGAGGGAACAAACTTTAAAATTCATGATCTTTTTCCTTTTACTTGAGATATACTCAATAAATGCCTTGTCAAATAACCTTATAAGTCAGTACTGGGTTACAAATACAGCAGTCTGGAACACATATGAATCTATGTGTTTCGGGAATTTAGCAATCAGATGAGATTGTTCCACATTTAACTTCTTCAGCTGTCTATGTATAACCAAGTTCTTACAGCTCTGTCGGTCCTATCCTAATTTTCCTGTTAAAGACAAATTCCTTGAAGATCGCTGTACTACCACCATACTTTCATTTATTCTGAAATGAAGTCCTTGAAAATTTCCCTCAAATCTGTAAGCAACACTGAGTGTAAAGTATATTTAATAGGCATGAGAGACAATTCATCATAAAACCTGACTTTGTATTTTTTATTATCACTAGAGGAAAGGGTTATAAAATTAAATGATTTTGCTTTTTTCATACAAGGACTTTAGACCCAGGTATGGTAGAACACACCCATAATTCCACTACCTGGGAGGCTAAGGCAGGAGGATTTCTGGAGTTCAAGGCCAGCCTAAACTACATAATGAGACTCTGTCTCAAACACACACACACACACACACACACACACACACAGACTTTTATACAAAGGAAAAGGAACTAAAAACACGTAACACAGACCAGGAGTGGTGGCGTGTGTGGTGCCAGTAATCTGAAGCCAGCTACACAATTTAGCAATATCCTGTCTCAAACCAAACAGCCAACCAAAACAAAAAAAAAGGCAGGGGTGGCTCAGTAGAAGAGCATTTGCCTAGCATATGAAAGGCCCTGCACTCAATCTCCATTAATGGGTAAAGAAAAAGACCCCCACAAAATAAACAAACATTCACATACACAAAACAGAAACACAAGTAAAATAGCCAAATGTTGCAACTCTGCTTGCACCTTCTGTTATTTGCAACAAAAGCTGCACACTCCTGAGACAAATGTTCCCTGCAGAAAAACTGTCATAACCAGAGATGTCTTAACCATTCCTGTGGTAGGCAGTAATATGTGACAATCAGGAGGAGACAAGTAAAAGCTGTACTTGTTATTTGAGTTTCCTGTGGTTATATTTAGAAAGGAGAATAAATATTTATTCAAATTTTAGCCAAGAGGAAATATCTATAGCAGAATGCTCAACCATATTAACTACTCAGGAAAAAATTCAATTTATCTCCCACAGCATGCCTCCAAATTCCATGTAAATTTAAAATATGCCACAAAAATTTTAGAAAAAGGTAGAAGAGAATAATCTTATGATCTTAGAATGAGGAAAGTATTAAGTCAAATCCAAAAGTCATAAGATAAAAAGTGCGTCAACAAAAACATTTTATTTTATTTTGTGTTTGGTACTGGGGATCGAACTCAGGTCCTTGTGCTTGCCAGGTGGGCAGCAGAACCACTAAGCTAAATCTCTGGCCCAACATTCTTACTTTTGCGATCCAGGAGATTGAACCTGGGGGGCCTTGCATTCAGTGATAACCTCAGCACTTTTTATTTTATTTTGAGACAGGATCTCACTAATTCATCCACGCTGGCTTCAAATGTGTGATTCTCCTGCCTTAATCACCCAAACACTATGTGTGTCTGCGTATTTGCATATATGGTACCAAGAAATGAATCCAGAGCCTTCATACTGAACTACATATACCTCTAGCTCTTTTCTTATTTTTTGAAATAGGGTCTCACTAAGTTGCTAAGTAGCCCAAACTGGGCTCAAACTTGTGATCCTCCTGCCTCAAACTCCCAAGTGCCAGGATTCGCTCCTAACTATAAAAACATTTAAATGAATATGCACAACTATGTTAAACAAAATTGAAAAAAAATAGCGCAACACCAAAACAGACAATATAAAAGGTTCTTATTTAGCATTTTGGGAGAGGGGTACCAGGCGCTTGGCCAGGCAGGCAGCAGAACTACTGAGCTAAATCTCTGGCCCTATAAAAGGTTCTTATAATGTATTAAAAAAAGAGAAACAGTTTGAAAATGACCTATTTATAAATACAATAACTATCTATTTATAAATAACTATATATAAATTGTTCTAGATCTAACAATTAAAGAAATAAAAATGAACAGATTATTTATCTATTAGATTCAGAAAAGATTTAAGTTGATACCGGCAGCCTATGTCGGCCAGTGAGTAGAACAGTCACTGTCATATTGTCTGTACAATGCTTAGGGGTAATTTGAAGAAGTATTAAAATTTTTTGTTCTTTTAATCTGACATTCTGAGACTGGCAGGCAGTAACCAGGTATGTAAGTGTGAGTACTGTGCTGTTTCTATTAGAAATGTTTAGAGGCAGCTTTAGGTCCAAAGGAGGGACTTACAGCACATCTAGATGCTGACTGCACACTGGCATTAAAGGATGAAGTCAGGTCCTGGGATTGGCCATCTACATTTTTCTTGGGGAGGGTATCAGGGATTGAAGTCAGGACCTTGTGCTTGCAAGGCAGTCATGGTGCCACTGAGCTAAATCCCCAACCCTGACAATCTACATTTGAAAGGTAGTATTTAAAAAAAAAAAAAAAACATTATATACAACGTTTAACAAGCTGTCATTTATACAAAGCAAAACAGCAAAACACTGTAACATTTATACCATTCTTAAGACTTTTTTGTTGGTTTTTTTTTTTTTTTTTAAGCCAAGTTTATTGCAGCAATGGCTATCATAGATGAGCAGGTACAGAAAGTATGATATATGTACACAATGGAGTACTACTGTGTTTTCAAGAAGGATATATTTTTTTTCTTTTGTATTGGTACATTTTAGGTATACAATACAGTTACATTCATCACTGGGATCTTGTACCTTTACATGATATATCTTGGTTCTTATTTTTTTCCCCCATTCCCCTGTTGGTGGTGGTTTTTGAGATAGGATCTTTAGTCTTGGCTGGCCTACAACTCACTATGTAGCCCAGGGTGGCCTCAAACTCAGTGAGCCTCCTGCCTCAACCTCCACAGTGCTAAGATTACAAGCATGCACCACCACACCTGGTAGCAAAACATTTTAGAGAAGACAAAGAAGGAAAAACATAACTACCATTATTTGTCCTTCCCTCCATAGCTATGTATGGACCTAACATTTTGGTCCCTATTCTTTTAGACTTTGATCTGTTTGTCCACACAGTTTGGCAAAAGAAGATATTAAATACAGTTTATTAATCTTTTCTCCCTATGTGTGTTTTCACTACTAAAATTTTGGTGTTCATTATAACTTATTATTTTAATAATACACTTTTCAATTAGGGAGCAAAGGTTTTGGTTTCATGCCTTCCTCTTTGCTCTAACTGCATCTGTACATCTCTGTATTTCAGTGTTTTTCTATTGTATTTTAAATTCTGGTTTATCTGCTAAATCTCTTCATTAACCAGAGATCCTTGAAATTAGGGAGGAATCCTGATTTACTCATTTCAATTCCCCTAGAGATATAGTGAGATACACGGTATGGCATGTAGTGAGTGCATTTGAATAAGGAAATGGGATGGAAAACTTGAAAGTCAAATAAAAGGAGAGTATAGTTTACATAAAAGACTTCCTTCAACCTCTGTTTATTCCAATGAGGAAGAGAGTAACTTTAAAAAGAATGAACCAGAACATTTTAAATGTTCTATTTCAGCTCCATTTGTATTTTCAATTATTAATATAAAACGTAAATGACTACTAAGCCCAGTGGTGAATTTTGTGACAAACTCACTGTTGTGTTTGAAGATTCGAATAGTTGCTCCTGACAATCTGGATCCTAGAACCAGTGATGCGTGGTTCAGCTCATCACTTAGAATAAGGCAACCCTACAAAATCACAAGCACAGGAAGGTAGACAGTAGAAGGGAAAGGGTTAGTTACACAAATCACAATGTAATTATACAATATAATTATTAAAGGAATTTTGCACAACAGCAAAGTGGTCAGTTTTTAGAAAAGTATACATAATTCATTTCTTTACAAAGACATGGTGGAAGGAAATGCAAAATCCTATCCACAGTTTTGTGACTGATTTAAATATTCAGATATATAACAATGGGTTCTTATTTTATACTTAAAATCTGACAGAGAACAGACTTTAAAAGATTTTGGCTTCTTTAGAAAGAACTGTGTTTGAGTTTTGTAATGATGTACTGTTTATTTGTGGGAAATTGAAGCTGCAGGGTAATCCTGTAGAAATGGTACTTTTTGTCTCTCCCTAACTACCCAAGTCCAGAAAGGATCCTGTGCATAAACTACAGATAATGTGGTACGCTTCAGCTTTGTACTTAAAATCTCCAAACAAGCTTTACTTTAAAATAGAAACATGGATTTTTGCTAAGGCATCAAAAAAGGCTGAAGTTCTTGATTTTTTAAAATTTCTTCCCCAGTTCTTAACTCTGCCATCTCTCATGGGTTCCCTCAGCCTATAACATAAGAACTCAGAAACAAGTTTTTCACTATCAAATCTGGACTCAAAATATCCAATTACATGAAAAAACAAAAACAAAAAAAGTGCAAAAGGTATATAACATGCTCCCATGAGAATAAAGGAAGAAAGAAGACATACAGGTTAGTGGGTTGGTTGGTCTATTTATCAATCTGTACTTATTTAATGAAGGATATTCTGCCTGTTTGAAATTTTTACTGTGCATAGTTTTTATCACTAAGATAAAAGCTACTTAGTTTAGAGCCAGGGATTTAGCTCAGTGGTGCTGCTGCCTGCCTTGCAAGTGCAAGGACCTCAGTTCGATCCCCATATGCTAAGTATTTTGCTGTTCTTGGCTGAAGTGTTTCCTAATTGTCAAGTAAACTGGTTGGCAGTTTTTCTAAGTGTTCTATAACTACTATGATTTTCTGTTAGGTTCTATCACTTGTGACAGGGGTGTTGATAACTAACAGTGATTCTGTATTTGCTTACTTTTTAAAGTTTTATCAGTTTCTACTATGAAACTGTTATTAGGTGCCTATACATCTTGATGAAATACCTCCTTTATGCTTACACAATATTCTTGTTTATCTTCAGAAGTATTTCTTGCTCTGAAATCTTTTAGATTAATATATATTTACATCTGACTACGTCAGGGCAACTGCATTTTTTAAGAAAAACCACCTATTCAATAATTTTTTAAACAAAAATTTTCATAATTTTCATCTTTTAGGAATTTTTTTTTTGAGACAGGGTCTCACTATGGCCTCAAACTCAAGGTGATCCTTCTGTCTCAGCCTCCCAAATGCTAGGATTATAGGTGTGCACCACCACACCTGGCTCTTTTAGGAATTATTATCAGAAACTGCCACGACCACTCCAGTGGAATCTGCGCGACAATGCCGACCACCCGGCAGAAACCGGATCTGAGGTATCGTCCCCTCAAGCCTCCTGGATGTCCTTGGCATGCACCGCATTAAAAGTCAGCCAAAGAAGGAATCGTTGGTTTCTTCGCCTGCAGCTTGGGGACAATGGGTTCTGTTACAATTTTGATTTATTTTCTATTGATCTCTGTGTGTTTGTGTTTTTTGAAAATGCCTAGTGGTTTTCAAGAAGGAGAAGGATTAGATGTACCCAAAGATATGGAGGATAAGAATGTCACTGTTTGGACACAGCCTTCTCAGTCAAATAATAACTGCACAGAAGGTGCATTTGAGGGGAATATTTCTTTTAAGGAAACAGTTCTCAGGAAAATAGCATGTAATGTTACAGACGTTACTGATACTTCATCAGAATTACCACATATTGTCAAACATCTGAGAAACAATGATTCATTGGGGAAAAAATGGCCACTGGCATATTATCAGCTAAGATGGAAAGAAAGCTTAAACTCCTGCTAACTTTTCACAATGTATTCTATAATGATGTATTTGGCAGGCGCCAGCTCAGCAAGCGGAAATAGATGCCTAGAGAGATCAGCTCACTGCCCCTGACTTGCTATAAGGAAATAGAAATCTGTATAAAAGAAGCTCTTTGTAAAATAAATTTTGCAGCAGCATTTGCAAACTTCACCTCGGTGTTGAGTGCTTTTGTCTGACTGTCATCGCCGAACCTGCTCCCACCTTTCAGAGAACCTGTATCTCCTCGTGAAATCCCGTGTTTGTTGCCCTACGGTCGGTAGCAAGAAACCATCTTCACATACTATGTATGTAATGAAGAAAGCAAGAGTCATTTAATCAAGGAGGGAGAGATCATGGGTTCTAACAAGAAAGCCCCAACTAATAACAAGGCTCCATGGGATATACGTGTCCAAAAATCTGTGACAGAAATCTCTGGGTAAACTATACTTAGTCTAAAGTTAAAAATAGCTTGTGGCTCATTCTGTGTCGGGTTGATAGCCCAAATGGTTGTCAGGTTTATGGCCTAACCAGTCCCCAGGGGATGCCTGGTCACCTGAAGAAGGGACAGCAAGGGATGAAAGAAAAATATATAAAGAATAAAGAATAAGGAATGATATAGTTTATTACTTGGGGGGCTGGGAATTGATCTTTAGCTCTTTCCTGGCTAAAGACCACCTGGTCTTAGCTCTGTCCTGTCTGAGACAAGATTAGTAACTGGATTAATCAGTATCTTTGATTATACAACAAGCAAGAGGACAGAAAGACAGATGTAGGGAATAGCAGAACTAATGCACTTAATGTGCTAGGCTTGGAAAACAGGGAGCAACTATGTATAACTGTGAAGGTCACAGTTACCAAGGCACCTCTGCTATCTTGCAGGACATAGCTAATGAGCCGCCTGTGTTATCTAGCTGTTTGATTTTGGAGAATGGGTTTAGAGAGTCACAATTCCTCAGCTGCAGCCTGTCCTTCCTATAAAGACATCACAACCTCATCTATCACTGAGACCTCAACTGTGACCACTAGCATAGGGAAGTCTGTTTCCATATACCAGCTGAAGGGTCAATTAGCGGTTCACACTTAGGCCTTGGAATGATTCATAATCTTAATCAATAGCTGAATTTATAAGCCAAATCAAACAGTGTCAAAAACCTGCTCAGTGTGGTTTCAAGCTGATCGCCTGAAACTCTGAATGCTTTATTTTTTTGGTTTTTTGAAACAGGATCTCACTATGTAGTTCAGGCTGGCTTTGAACTCACATTGTAGTCCAGGCTGGCCTTAAACTCACAGAGATGCTCCTGCCTCAGTTTCCTGAGTGGTGGGATGACAGGTGTGCACCATCACAACCAGCCTGAATGCTTTCATGGGGGTGAGGGAAAAGGAGAAGGGAGGAAGAGGAAGAAAGAGGAGAAATAATGTATCAGGGAATTTTCACAAATGACAAAGTATCTTACTTTGCCAACAAGAGCAGGAATGTTCATGGAATTTGTTGCAAATCCCATGCCGTAAGTCATAGCAGCTTCTACTCCCAAGAACCTTGCTACAAGCTTCTCTAGTTCTTCATGCTTGTCCAGGTTTCCTGTGTGAAGAAGATAACAAAGTCAATATCATGAAATTCTGAATTAAGAGTTACCATTTTATAAAAGAGAAACCAATCTGTGTATTACGATCTTTCAGACTAGGTGCTATGGAGGAGTCCATATTACAAAGCACGATACCTTCTAAAGAACACAATAGCTGAACAAGCATTTGTGGTAAAGGAGGGGTTGCCAACAATTTAATGTCTGTACATGGCTAGTTCCAACTCTAGGCCTTAAAGGCCAAGCAAATTTTGTTTTTTACAATTCTAAGTCCCCTGCCATGCAAAATTGTAATTGGCCTGCTATAGAGACAGAATGTACAGAAAGAGCTCAGGAGGATAAAAGACTCTAGAGGAGGAGAAACAGGAAGAAAAAGGAGAGAGTGAAGAGGAGAGGTGGGGAAAGGAGAAGAGGGCCTCAGCAGTCCTTAGCAGTTCTACCACCCAGCTGAAGTGCTACACATCTAAGTTAAGCCATCTTGCACATGCTATCATCAGTCATAATGGCCCACTTGAGGGCTGGGGATTTAGCTCAGTGGTTCTACCACCTGCCTCGAAAGTGCAAGGACCTGAGTTCAATCCCTGGTACCCCCCACCCAAAAAGTCCCACTTGATACTACATGAGCTGAAGATAGCATCAAGCCCTCCCAAACTGTAAAATCACAAGCAAATAAATTTGTTTTACTTATTTATTTGTGGTGCTGGGGATCAAATCCAGGGACTCACACATGCTAGGTAAGTGCTGTAGCACTGAGCTATACTTTCAGGCCCTCTGTTTTTTTAAATTACTAAGTTTTAGGACAGTCTGTTATGCAGCATAAGACAGGTAAAAAGGATTTTCTCTCACTTTGACCTGATTGGTAAATTTGTACTGTTATTTTTACATTGGTACTCAAATCCATAAGGACCAGATGATATTACAGAATGAAAAAATACAGAAAAAGATTGCTAGACTTGACAGTAGTATGTGTCTGTCTTTAAAGGCTTAACTGAGTTGATTATAATCCCTCTAGGCCTCTGTTTCTTATTTGCTAAATACTGATAATACTGTCCCCTGTCTGCTTTATGACATTGTTGTAAGGATCAAATGAAACTGTATGTTCAAGCACTTTATAAAATGCAGAATGTCATAAAGATATAAAGTGTGCTTACTACCTGTTGTCAGTATACAACACTCCTTAATCCATCATTAAATCAAATAACTTGTGATTTCTGAAGTGTAATGCAGAAACTTAGTTTTGAAAATGAAAGATTAAAACATTCTACTCCCATTTTCCTATTGGACAGCGCCACAAAACAAATGGAAGAACAAGAAATAAAAACAACTCTCTTTCATGTTAGTAGATATCCATAATCCTCAACACAAAATTAACAGAAGGGAAGGATGGATTAAATTTGGTTCCACTAAAAATATAACTTGAGGGTCTGGGGTATAGCTCAGGGGTACAGCCCTTGCCTAGCAGGAATCAGACCCTGGGTTTATCCTCAATACCAAAACAAAACAAACAAACAAAACAATCACAAAAATGGATATTTTGATATCCATTTTGATAACCCCTGTATCTCAGAAAATAATTTTTGGAAATAGGGTCTAGAAGTAATCTATATAAAATAAGGCTAATGTTCTTAGAAGAAAGGGAAATTTGGTCACAGAAGCACAAAAGATAGTATTTAATATGCAAGAAGACAGCCATGTGACCACAGCCATGGGGTAGTAGCAAGGTCTCCTGTTAAACACTAGATACAAAGGATTCTCTTCTAGGGATGGCAGAAAGAGCAGGGCTCTGCTGACACCTTAACCCCACACTTCCAGTCTACAGAACTACAAGATTATAAAGCACTGTCTTAAGTCACCAAATATCTTATTCTATGTACTTGTACTCTGTAACAGCAGCCATAGGAAATTAACTACAGATGGGTAATTATTTAAGAGTTAAATCATATCTATGTCTTTAAAGAGTGGACAATGAATGAGTGAGTGAGAAACAAGCAAATTCATCCTATGGAACTCTGGAGAAGCTTAAAAGCTGGAAACAACAGGAATCAAACAAAGCAAGGATGAAAGTAAGCAAGGGCTACAAGCAAAATTAACATTTGAAAGATGATAGAAAAAAAACCACAAAAAGCTAATTGTAAAAAAAATGAAGAAAGCTTATTGCATAATTATCACAGGACCTAGCAATTTCACTCCTTAGTACAAACCCAAAAGAAACAAAACATACATCATTCAAGAACTTGCACACTCATTTCGTAGCAGCATTGTTCACTACAGCCAAAATCTGGAAACAACCCTAATGATGGTCTAAAGATAAATGCATAAACAAAACACAGTGTACTTACAATGAATAACTAACTACTCAGTCATAAAACGGAATGGAATATTGAGGCATGCTATGAAGTACTAATGGACGATAATACTATGGATCAATCGTACAAACATGTTAAGCAAAAGGCACAAAAACCACGATATCATACGATTCCATTTATATGAAATGCTCAAGGTAAGAAAATTCATGACAGAAAGTAGACTACTGATTGCCAGGGACTTGAGGGAGAAGGTGTAGAGTACAAAGTGTGCTAATAGCTATGGTATTTCTTTCAGGGGGATTGGAACTGTTCTAATATTAGAGTGTGGTGAAGGTTGCAAAGCTCTGTGAATGTACTAAAAAACGGTGAAGTGTACACCTTAAATGGGCAAACTGCATGACATATGAATTATATCTCAATAAAAGTATTAAAAGAAAAATAAAAGTTAACCTAAACAGGCAAGAAATTTTGCCTTCTCCCATACCCTTAAGTGAAATATATTATTCTGATCTCAGGGACACCAGATATGAAAGTGTATGTAACAGCGCCAGGGTAAAAATGGTAATTAAAGTTAAGTTTATATAGATAGGATCTGCATTCTAAATTTCTCAGAAACAAAAGAAAAATGTAAGAAAGGGAAGACAGAAAAGACTATTAAAAGGTAAACACCAGGGGGGTTATAAAGAGGTATTTCTGAAAGTGAGAACTGAGAAAATGCTTAAGTATCATATAATCAGAGGACATTTTTCAATTTCTAAGGATCCACCAAAAAACTGCACAACTATAGGAAGAAAAAGACTCAGATTGAGGCACAAATGGAATTTTTTAATGCATCTAAGGGAAAGAGAAGGTCTTAAAATTTTCTAGAGGTACAGGAAATAAGGAATCCAAATCAGAGGAGAAGGAAAGGAAATACCTAAGTTTACCCCTTCCGTTCCTCCTGAAGAAAAGTACCAGAATGCAACTATACAGGAGAACTGGAGAGCTTACAGTCCAAACTGATGCAAGAAGCAGGACGGAGTTATGTTAAGGAAATAGCTAGTAGTACTCAGCAGACGACATTAAAAGAGAACAGAGTTTTCATGCTTTCAAGAATCTTCCTCCTAGAAGTTGGCTAATAGACTAAGAATTTAGATGAGGCAAAAACCCAACTAAGTCTCCTACTGTTAAACTGTTATGAGATCCAAGGAATTAAAACCTTCTTGGAAGGGCCAGGGATATAGCTCAGTGGTGCTGCACCTGCCTGGCAAACCCAAAGTCCTGAGTTTGATCCCCAGTACTAAGAGGGGGGGCTCTTCATGTAAAAATCTTCAAATCATCTTTTAGATTACAAGACTATACCTAATTTCTTTTCTTTTCTTTTTTTTTGGTTTCTGAGACAGGGTCTCATTATGTAGTTGAGACTGACCTGGAACTCACTATGTAGCCCATGCTGGTCTTGAACTCACAGCAATTCTCCTGCCTCAGCCTCCTGAGTGCTGGGATTACAGGCATGTGTCACCACACCCGGCCCTAATTTTTTATTTTCACCCAAACTTAAAAATTGAACTCACCAATTCTCCTGCCTCAGCCTCCTGAGTGCTGGGATTACAGGCATGTGCCACCACACCCGGCCCTAATTTTTTATTTTCACCCAAACTTAAAAATTTAGACTTCTAAATGAAAAACTTTCACAAACTCCCACATACTAGTAGAATTCATTGCCCAGTCCTTTCCTGGGAGTAGCAAAAGAAATTTGTTTCTGAAATTCTAGATGTCAGAAGGTTTGAGTGTAACTGCTGTAGGCCAGGAAACACAGCAGTTCTTCCAAAAAACATCCAGAGTCACTATAGTATAAATAACTAAACTAAGAAATTTCATTAGCAATAGCTACTAGAAGCCCTGAAGTCCTGTAACTTGTATAAATGGTTGGAAAAGCCCAATTTAAGAGGATAAGAAAAGCTGCACAATTTTTCATTTTGTTTTATATTTGAGTTGACTAAATACTTAGGGCGTATATTAAATTGGATGTAAATTTGTTTCACTACAGAGTTTTTATCTACACAACTCTGGACTCTGGGCTGTCCTTACTGACTCACACCAATACAAAGATGCATATTTTGGACCTGGAGCATGAAAGGCTTCCTTTCCAGCTTTCAGTTAGGTATCCTGGAACACTTACTCCATGGAAAACCTGCTGCCACTAAAATAAATGATTTTCTGAGCCTTGCATGCCATGAAGAAGCCCAAGCTAGTAACACAGGAAGGTTAACACAGAGCTCCAGCCACTCCAGCCCCGGTGAAACGTGAAGAAGGACACCTTCAAGGACTTTAGACACAGAGCCATGCTGACTGCAACTGTGTTAGGCACTCTGAATAAGAACCCAACCCTACTTGGCAACCCCTGAAAGAATTAATAGCGAGTGAACTGGTGATTTAATCTACTGTTTCAGGGTGATTAACGGTAATAAGTATCCAGAAGGTTGCCATATAACTTCTATTCCAGTTCTCTGGAATAAAACAAGAATTTTAAATCCTTCTTTGAACTATTTAAATAAATCTCTATATAAAACTATAATCCTTTATATTTTAGACTTGTAACAATAGTTTAGCATTTGCAAAAACTAATAAAATCAGTATTAAAGTCATGAAAAAACAATACATAACTTTTCTAAGGACAGTTCTGTATGTGTGACATACTGTAAAACATTTCAAAATATGTTGCAAACATTAAAATAATCTATCACTTCAGAAAGTGAAAGTATTTCTCTGATCTAAAATATATATATATATATATATATATATGGCAAAATATTGGCATGTTTTATACTCTTACTCCAGAAGTTAAGCAGCTGTCCAAACCCAGCTTATACTTACCAATTTCCTGCCGAGTGCTGCATACTCCAGCTCCATACTCCTCTAGGACTTTGGCAGCTGCCTCTTGACACGCACCAGTGTTCCGTGCAAATCCAAGATAGTTGTAGGAACCCATGTTTATAACACCTTTAATTATATTCCCTGTATACCTGTGTTTCAATACCATAAAATTTAATCAAACCCACGAGCAAATCCAATTCTTAATTGTGATATGTTCACTGATAACACACAAAAAACATATACAGAAAGTAGAGAAAATGATCTGCACAAAACAAAAGCTCTGACTTGCTATCGACTAGGGAAGTGGAAGATATAATATTTTTAAAATATCAATTTCACTTATCAGTAGAGATGAATATTTTGAAGTGGATGATATCCTGTGTTGGCCAAGACATCTCATAAATTAGGTAAGAAGATCCATCAGTACTTTTTTTTGGTACCGGGGATTGAACTCGGGTCCTTGCGCTTGCAAGGCAGGCCACTGAACTGCTGAGCTAAATCCCTGGCCCTATCAGTACTTTTTTTTGGAGGGCAATTTAGCAGTTCCTTTTTTTTTGAGACAGGGTCTCACTATGTAGTTGAGACTGCTCTGGAACTCACTATGTTCCAGGCTGGTCTCGAACTCACAGCGATCCTCCTGCCTCAGCCTCCCGAGTGCTGGGATTACAGGCATGCGCCGCCATGCCCGGCGCAGTTCTTATTTTTTGAAAGATATACATACTAGCCAGATGTGGAGATGCATGCCTGTACTCCCAGTATTCTGGGAGGCTGATGCAGAAAAATCACAAGTTTGAGCACAGCCTAGGCAACTTAATACCTTGGCAAGACCCTGTCTCAAAATAAAAACAAAGAAAAGAAAAGGCCTTGGGTTCAATCTTTAGTACTATTTAAAAAAAAGATACATATTCAGTATTGACTCAGCAGTTCCCACACAAGTGCATACACAGAGCTTTTGAGAACCACTGCACAATTGGCCATGTCCCTTGTGTAGGCAGTGACCAGTGACATTTCATATGGTAAAGCTCAGTCAGCCTGGCCCTCTACGTTAAGGACAACATAGTTCACAGACTCCAGCAAACTAAGGTAAACACAAAGTATGGAATAGAGAGAAACTGCCATTGCTTTAACTCCCTGGGACTCAAGCCCATTTGCTATACCTGGCACATCCGTACTGTAAAATATTATATAGCCACTTCAAATAATTAACTTGCTGTGAATATACACGAGAAAATGTTATCAATGTGCTAGCAAATAAAAAAAACCTGGAAAATAATTTTATAGTATGATCCCAGTTTTGTATAACAACGATGGGTAGAAACCCACAGACATACTATACACATACCCCACCAAAAACATCTGGAGGAATAATTCAAAATAAAGTGGTAATAATGGTCACCTCCAGAGGACGAAGAAGGATTTATGAGGCAGCAGATTTACAGAAGGACAGGGATCAGTTGTCATGGGGGACTTTCAGTTTATTTATATTTTTTTCTTTAATGTGAAAGTAATCTAAATAATAAAATGTTAAGAATATACAATTATAAAACTGTTCAACTTAAGTAAAAATATTCCATCCTTAAAACTTTAGAGAAATAAAAAATATCTAGAAATGAAGTCAGATACTGTACTTGATTCTGCTAAGTGGCATAATGGTCTTTCTTATCTAATAAGTCAAAATTTGTTCTCAACTATAATCCAATACAGAATCAAATGTAACAGAAAAATGTATTTTAGAAATCGTAAAGTGACGCATGACTATAGCCCTAGCACTCTGGGAGTCTGAGATTAGAGGGTAATAAATCTGAACCCACTCTGGGCAATTTAGTGAAAACATTCCTTAAAAAAAAAAAAAAAAAAAAAAAAAAAAAACAAGCTGAGACATAAGCTCAATGCAAAGGCCCTGGGTTCAATCTCCAGTACTGGGGAAAATACGTTAATGAGGGCTGGAGATGCAGCTTAGTAGTAGAGCACGTGTCTGGCCTGAATCCCTAGCAATGTGACCATCAACAACAACAAAATCCAGTATCAATGAACAATTCACAAAGAAGCCAATCATATTACACTATATCCTCAGCTGCAGTTTGTTTTGTGAGAATATTCATCTTAATATTTTCTCAAATGAAGAAATCCTTTTGCTGTTAAGAAGTATCTTCCCACCACCACTCACTTGAACGACCAGTTATAATCATGAGACTGTCTCTCCATGATGTCCACTTTGGCTCCAGGCACACTACAGATTGGTCGATTCCAGTTGTCTCTTATCCTCATGTAGAGGTTCCTTGTATAGAAGTTTTCAAAATCCTGATACAATGACACAAAGTCCTGCCAACAAATGGTGAAATAGTATAAATTTAACTGAATTACTTTAAAAACAAATTTCACAACTTCCCTTTTCAAACAGCAAGAGCACTTGAGCCTGAGTAGTCATATTTAATTACCTGACATGACAGAAAAACATTTGGAGGGGTATCAAACTTTGTTTAACATAACTCATTTATAAGGTAAATTCAATGAACTTTGATGGCTGATTTCAAAAATGGTTACATGAATGTGGAATCAGTGAATTTAATAAAGCTGGCCTCATAAAAATAAAACTTAGTTGTACAAGTCCATCATTAAATGGTTTCCCTTCCTAATAACCTCAAAGACTTCTCAGGCCAGGGATTTAGCTTAGTGGTTTCACAAGCACAAGGTCCCGAGTTTGACACCCAGTACCAAAAACAAACAAACAAAAACAAAAACAAAAAACCCTGCTATAATTCCAGGTTCAAACAAGAAAAACACTTCCAAGATTAAGAAACACTAAAGGGGAAGTCATAGGAAGTCATCACCTTTGGCCCATTTGCCCCCAAGAGGAATTTTTAAAAATTCTCTAAATATAAGAGAAATAACAATATACTCTAAAAATGAATTCCATGACCACATTTAGTCTTCCTTTCTCCTGAGATCAAACTAAAATTTAAGTCTGTAAAAAATGAAGTCACAGTGGAACTGAAATGAATGTATAATACCATGCTCAGTGTCATATGACCCCTGACTCAGAGCACATGACCAGACCATGTGAGATCTACTTCCAACTGTCAAAGAGAAACGGTATTAAGTCAAATAAAATGGAACAATAGGTGACTATAGGTTACTACAGTCAGCATATTACTGAGCTTCTGGCACTCAGATCTGAGCCGGATCAATCTTAATTAATGTGTTAAATAAACTATTCTGAAACATTTAAAGAATTTAGCTTTATTCTGTAAAAGACTGGTGAGCAGTAATGGAGACTGAAGCCAGGGCTTTCACTCTAGGCTACTCTCTTTAGCCCTTCTGAAATTTTTTTTTTTTTAATCTTGAGGCAGGGTCTTGCTAAGTTTCTAAGTTGCACGGGGTAGGCTCAAAATTGCAACCCTCCAGCCTTAGTCACCCAGGGTGCTGGGATTTCAGGCATGTATCAACACTCCTGGCATTTTAAAAGACAGCTGGTGGTCATGGTGGTGCATGCCTGTAATCCCAGCACTTGGGGGGCTGAGGCAGGAGGACTGCCAGCAGTTGGAGGCCAGCCTGGGCTACATGGAGAGTTCAAGATCATCCTGCTCTATACAGCAAGATTCTGTCTCAAAAAACAAAAACAAAAAAGTTATTGCTCAAAAGGACTCTACATAAAACTCTACAGTTAATAACTTTCTATGAACCAGAAGGACTCTAAAGTGCCTACTAAATAAGCTTCAGAGGGGCCAGGGATTTAGCTCAGTGGTTCCACCGCCTGCTTCACAAGCACAAGGACCCAAGTTCGATCCCTGGTACCCAAAAAAAAAAGCTTCAGAGTAGATAAAATCCTCTTAGAGATAAGAAGACTCAGAAAGTACCTTGAGAATTTGCAGTACTTGATACCATTTTTCTTGCAATTAGTTCTAAAATTACTTTTCCTTGGGCTAGGAAATACCCAGAAATAATGTGTCAATCACAATTGGAAATTTTTCATTTAAATCGTTTGTCCTTTTCATAATCTAGTCTTTCCAAAGAATAATGGCTGAGTGAAAGTAGGGACAGAGACATCCATATTCTTATTAATACTTCGGTTATCATACATTATGCATTTATTCTCCAAAAGAAAAAAAATGAGTAGTTCCCAATCTGTTTCAACTGTTTCAAATGGAGTAACTGTACTAACTCTTCAAGTAAAACCACAGTATTGGTAATCTCATTTCATTGCATATTAATGTTCGAGGTAGGTATACTGCATTAACTCAAATACTTGAAAGAACTATTTCCTCACAGGCCAATTTTTTTGGCAACAAAGAACAATATATTTTGTTTTACTATGCAACCATCAGAAAACAACTGTATTACAGAGTCTGGACCAGATATCTGAAGAAGTATCGAGCCCCAAGACAGAAAAGGGGATTCAGACTAGAACCCAGAAGAACTTGACCTGTCAATCTTGGATCAAACTGAGACCTGTGACAACAGCTGTCTGTGGTTAGGCAGAAAGGAATGGGTTCCAACCTCCTAAATAGAGACAGACATGTTACACCACGGCAAAGGATCTCTGTCCCTTTATAGCTACAATGACAGGACAATTAAGTCCCTGCGATTGGAAAACACCAGCACAGAGTAAAGGAAAAGCTGTTGAATGAGGGATATGAGAGACCTAAAGCAGGTGAGACAGAAGACAGGAACCCAGGCCTGAGTTTTAGCTTAGCTTTACTTTAAGTGAAGTTCCAGGATAGCAGCTTTGACTATAGCTAGCAATTTTGGTAAAGAGATCTGAAGGACAGCTAACCTAACTCCCTGATGTTTTGGTTTTTGTTTGTTTGTACTGGGGATGGAACTCAGGTCATTGTGCTTGAGAGGCAGGCAGCAGCACCACTGAGCTAAATCCCGGGGCCCCTGATATCTAATAATGAAGGGACAGAAATCATGATTCAGGACTTTAGTTCAAGGCAGTAAGATAGTCTGTTTCCTAAAAATATTTTATATACTTTAAATATTCTAGGACTATGGTAAAAATAGAGAGTTTGTCTTTTCATCTGTTCATTCAGAAATCTTTTAATATGGTGAATTATTTGACTTTCCAGGATATATTAAATAACAAGGGAGTTCTCTCTGCAAATAATGATACCCCCACTATTTTTAATCCCAGCCCTACCTCCTGCTTCCTATTTCAGTCACTGTGAAATGAGTAGTCAGGACTGACCTTGCAATGCTCACTCACTGAATAAACATTTGCTGAGCAATACCTTCCTGGTACTAAGCTGGGCAATGAAGGATAAAGAAAGTCAGAACAACCCCTACACTCCTGATGATCTCTTAATGTAGTGGAAAGCGCACAAATAAATGTAAAAGTTCTTGAAAATGTAACTTTTGGATAAATATCAGTTATCAAATTCAACAATGGTTTGGAGCAATGACATGTACAAATTCTCTATTCAATAAATTATTTTCTCAAAAAAAATTTCAATTAATCAAAATCTTATGTTGAATGCTCCAGTTACTTAAAAACATCAAAACAAAATGCAGAAAATCCTGCCCATTGAGGGAGGCAAAAGCTTAGTAGAAGCTAAGTAAGTCCCACCTTTAGGGGTGGAGGAGTAAAACATGAGGAATAAAAACAAACAAACAAACAAACCTGAGGATGCCTTAACTTTCAGTATGAGGAAGAGGTTATTTGACTGCAAACCTCTGGTTTCCCAGATGTCTCAAGATAAAACTGGAGTTGCCAGGTGTGGCACGGCACACCTGTATGAGTTCAAGGCCAGCCTGAACTACACAGCAAGACCTTGCTTCAAGAAAACAAAACTCTGAAGTCTACTGTATAAAAAGGACTTTAGGACAAAGAAGCTGTTCTGTGAAGAGATGAGAAAGGCAGCCAGTATGGACATGATACTCACATAAAGGGCAGAGTTAACTTGTGCTCACTTTGCGCTGAGACTCATCCTTCAGCCATGAGAGATGAGGAAGATAAACAGAATCCCTGGGAATATGTTTTACTTGAACTCTACAGGTCAAAGAACAAAGGTCTGCTTTCCTGAGATCCATTTTATTTGTTCTATGTAAAAATAGGCAATAATCATAATTAACACTCCAGCTGTGGTGGTGTCAGTACTCTGGGATGCCAGGCAGGAGGACCACAAATCCAAGCCCAGCCTGGACAACTTAGGAATTTAGTGAGACTCTCTCAAGATAGAAAACAGCACCACCACCACCATCACCACACACTAAGGAAAAGGGTGAGGCTATAGCTCCGTACTGGGTTCAATCCCCAGTACCACACACACACATACATCCGTGTCTAGATGCACGTCCTTTCTGTTTATTGTATTACCTTACTAGGTTGGCTGGATCATATAAAACTCACTATAGTAGTTCAAAAATAGTCAAATATTGGCACCTTCACATGGTTCAAAGTAATGTGGATTTAAACAATAAAATAAAGATATATTCATGAACTAGAATAAAAAATGTTTTAAGGGGAAGAAACTAAAAATAATTAAGACATGTATATACATGTGCCAACTCTCCATGAATGTAATCATTGTGTACTGCAAATACATATTTAGTAATAAATATTTTAATTAAAATTTTTTTTAGGGCTGGGGATTTAGCTCAGTGGTTTCGCAAGCTGCCTCACAAGCCCAAGGACCTGAGTTTGTTCCCCGGTACCCACCCCGCCTAAAAAAATTTTAAGAAAAATGCTTTCAACATGGCACAAAAGCACTATAATGAAGGAAGACTGGTAAATATACTCACTTGAAAATGATTTCTGGTGGAGAAGGGAGGGCAGGGGTATGGGGAAAAAATGAGAACCACAATCTGTCATGTAAAGGTACAAGACACCAATGATAAATGTAACTGTACTGTATACTTAAAAAGTACCAATAAACTCAGTAAGATTAAAAAAAGAGAAAGAAAAAGAAAATGATTTCTGGTCATCAAAAGACATTATACAAAGTAAAAAATAACACCACAAAATGGTAGAAGGTAGTTGTAAAATATCTTGTAGAATACATTAGCTTCCTTATAAACCATTAAGAAAAAGAAACTCAAAGGAAAATCAGGCAAAAGACCTGAAAACACAAAAATGCTTAGTTCCACTAGGCAAAAAATGAGGACAAATTAAAGCCACAATGAGATACTAATACATATATACCAAGTGAATTGGTAAAAATTTTGAATTCTGACAATATTTAATGTTGGTACAGACATGGAATGATGAAAATTCTCAAACAGCTGGTAGGTATATCAACAATCATTTTTGAAACCAATCTTGCACTATCAAGTGAAATTAAACCCATGTTGTTCTTCCTTTTGATAAACATTTTAAAATCTTT